AAAATTTGACAAAAAAATTTCCCTCCCCCATCAATGGCAGGGCAGTTGGTGGAGCCAGTCCAGTTTTAGGGTTTCCACTTTTAATTTCCCCACCCCAGTTTTCAAAAAAAAAAAAAAAAAAAAAGTTTAAAATACAAGGAAATTATCTAAATGCACAACTCCTGCAAAGCAGGAAGTCGCAATATAGCTTTGCACCTGTAACAGTCTGTCATTCTGTAGGCTATCCACAGCAGCAAAAAAACAAACCACTGTGAGTGGCTGCCAGCTTGAAGTTAAAGCAGATCACAAATAAGTTTAGGGAGAAAAAAACAACAACAACAAAACAACAAGATAACAACACACAAAAAAGGGGGGGGCAGAAAACTTTAATTAAGGTGGCGAAGCACAAACTGAGAACCACTGCTTCGCCAATCATATTTTAAGCCCATTTACACTTTTACATTAAGTACGGTACTTTCACGCTGCGGAAAAAAACGGGGGGGGGGGGGCATCTGGAGAACAAGTTATTTTTCTATTTACGCCATAGCAGAGGGTACCCTGCGGTGCAGTACGGTACGCGACTGCACATCCTCGTTTAAAATATGGTCCGAGCCAAAACTAACCACGCCCATAGTTCCTCGCTTTAAAAAAAAACAAAAACCGGCAGCAATTGGTTAAAAGATCTGTATCACGTGCTGCTTATCCCGCCAATGAACGCAGTCATTTTTTAGCTAATAATAACAAAGTGATTCTTCCATTACCTCTCGTCGTCAAAAGCGCGTCACATTTTTTTTATCGTGCGTTTTCTGTAACCACCAACGGAAAATGCGTTGGTGTGCCGCCCCGAGATGAACGCGATACCGTCACGTGACAGTGAGGATGTTGCCAGCACCCCCAAGGCCACCGGCACAGGTGGAGGGGAAATCGTTAGATCGGTGGCTCTCAACCTTCCTAATGCCACGACCCTTTTAAATACGGTTCCTCATGTTGTGGTGACCACCCAACCATAAATTATCTTTCGTTGTTACTTCATAAATGTTTTTTTTCAGATGGTCTTCGGTGAGCCTGTGTAAATTTATGTTGTAATATTTTTTGTTACATAGGCTACATATATTCTGTTAATAAAAAAATGTGTTGCTACAGTGTGCCCTTCATTACTACAGTGTCCTGCCCGTTCGCTCACCATACAAATACGCTACAGTAAATTAAAACTACATTAAAACATGGCTAAAAATATTTTGCCCCCCCCCCTAGAAAATGTTCTGCGGGCGCCCATGGTTCTACCCCTCCAAAGGGGTCACGACCCGTAGGTTGAGAACCGCTGCGCTGGATGACAATCACAGACCTTAAGGATGTTTTTTTGTGTGTTTTTTTTTCCTTTCGTTTTTTTTTTTTAAATTTACCCTTAAAAAGTTTCTTGTGTTTT